TTTGGAGCCAGTTATTAATATCTATTAAGATGTTTGTGTGAAAGCACAGTTTCCAAACTCCTTCTGCACAATACTTGATTTCGTTCTTTATGACACACACAAGCACACCATTTTATTGTTTGTACAGATCACTTTGTTTTCCTCAGTACATAATTTCAATTCCAATTCATTAATGTCAAAGCATAAAAGAAGCAACCGCACATGAAGCAACAAAAGTTTGCTAAACCCAGAAGATAACAGCTGATAATTAAGGAAGTCCCATTATTTCTTGGCAAAGGAGACTGTGTTTTCAGAGACACATTCTTAAAGGGCCTCTCTTTAGTGTAGCTGCATAATTTGCATGAACTCTATTTGCACAGAAAAATAAAGGTTTTCAATATGGATAAAAGGAGGCTTTAATGTGCTCATAATTTCTGTACAATACCCATACCATGCCCCTTCTTGTTGGCACAGCCTGGCCTTGTGACAGGTTCACAGAAGAGCCACTCTGGCAGATCTTTGATGGTGTGGACAAAAGATCTGGGCTTTTGTTAGCACATACTTGCCCCCCACCTCCACCCTCAGTCTCATTTTATACTGATATCATTGCAGAAAAACCAGACATTGTACTGACCTGAAACTGCACACAAATCCTCTACCCAAGAAGAAACCCCTCATTTCTATCTTCCCAGGCTCACCTCTGCCTCCTGCCCTGGCAGTCGATCACAGCATGATCTCCTGCTTACTGGGCAAGTCCATCCCAAAAGACTTTTGCATTTTGTTTGTGCTCCCTCACATTACTGCTGCTGGCCACTGCCAGGCATGCAGGGCCATTGGAAAGTCCCCTGGTTTTAGTGGTTTCCCTGTGTCCTTCCCTTTGGCTGTTTCCAAGTGCTGTTCAGCAAGACTGATTCTCTGTTCTGGTACAGTCTTACACCGAGATGAAAGTCTGCCAGCATGTGGAAAAAGGCATGTTGGTTGGATGAAGCTGAAACAGGCTAAGCAGTTTTGTTCCTCCTAGGACCTGAATCCTGTATATCCACCCTTGTACCACTGCATGCCTTTGCTTTGCTTGATGAGCATCTCAGAGAGAGATTACAGCCCTCTGTTCTTCTGAAGTCTGAGTCACTACCTCCCAGCTTCCAGTCACCATCAGTAGTGAAGATCTGTGGTGGATGGTTATGACCTCACATGGATATATGATCAAAGATTCTGTAATTAAAATGTCAATCAGCAGAGAGGAAAGGGGTTTCACTGGCAGACATCCCTAAAAAACACTGCTTGAAGCAAAACTGGTCTTCTCTGGCAAAGCCCCATAAGTCAGGACTATAACTCACATGAGGTACAGTCCTGCCAACAGTCCACACAATACTGCCACAGCAGTTCCCAAGTCACCAAGAGCTGACAAATGATACAGATTTCCTGCACACAGAGAAAATCTTGTGTTACTTATTGAAAAATATTTTTAGACAAGATACTCTCTACAGACAAATTGTGGGCAAGATCTAATATGATCTAGTATGATATCTAATGGAAAGTCTTCCATTATGCCTATTCCTGAAGGAAAAATAGATGTCCTTCATGCCATTACTTGGCCTGAGTCATAGGTCCTCTTCACATTTTAACAGCATTGCTGCAACAGGAAAACTCCTCAAGGGTGCACAGAGCTTCAAAATCCTCCTGGGTGCACAAGAGTCATAACCACTGCATCCCCAAGAAGTGAGGACAGAAAGCTTGTCAGGAATCAGCCACTTAAGCCTATTAACCACTGCCAGCCTTAGACTGAGGTATCACATCACCTAACAGTTTCAAGGACCAGACTTGGCCTAGGACTCTAGCAAAGGTGGGGAAGGAGGGTGGTATGTTTTTACCTGGGACAGGTTGTATGGTGAGGTTCTTACATGGCTTTGTAAGTTATGAACCCAACAGAAGCAGAAATTCATCTGCCACATAGCAGGGCTAATTCCATGCTGCTACACCCGATCCTTTTTGATGTAAACCTCTCCTTTGAAGGTGCTGTCTTCTGATGGAGCTTCCATTTTTTAAACTCAGCTCTGCCCACTTGCAGTTCAGGGCTGTGCTTTCATGGCTGCTTTAAGTTCTTTGACTGCAGCTGGTGCCCAAGACTTGGTGATGGCAAAGCTGCTGCTCTCACTGCTCTGGTGGACATGACTGAGTGGTATCAGAAGTAGTTTGCCTGATGTGGAATAAGAATGCAGTGGAGGAAACCCCCACTGACACTGGCATATCACTAGGAAAAGGCATGGGATGATCACTAAACGCACAGCCTGGAAGCTGGAACATGGGGCAGCTCTGAAAGTTTCCTTAATAATGTGTTTATGGCAGGCAGAAACAGGTTATGGCAGGGAGTTCTCTGTTTCTCTCAGCAGTGTGATGGTACAGGGGCCCTCTCAGCCTGGTTTTATGGCAACACAGTGCATTAGTGACATCAGTGGGCAATTGCACCTACACAGACAATGCCATCCAACCAGCCCCTCCACCAGAAATGCTGCTGCCCTTGAATGCCCAGCTGCTTGATGTGTTTCCTTAGGAACAGAGCACAGGCATTTGTGTTAAATTCCCACCCCCGAGCTGTAAGAGAAAATCCTATCTATCCACCCAGGAGCTAAGGTTTGGATTAATCTGTTACAACAACTCTTTCCTGTTCATTTCCTGTTGGCAACAGCCTAAATACCCAAAGCCAGAAAAGAATGCAAATTATTACTTCCCCTATTACATGGGAAATACAAAGAAGACAAAAGGTGAAGTTCACCCCTGTGCTGAAGATCACCATAGGAAGACTGTGTCTGAGTCAGAATGATTCAGTCAACAAGGTAAACAGCAAATTCCTCATAAGGGCAAAAGAAAAACATCTGCTATTTAATTTCCTGATTATCTGACTTACTCAGTTAACTACATCAGATGTAGTCATGCATTCTGTGCTTTCTCCTTCCTACCCTACCAGCACACAAAACTGCTGCAGGCCCAGTCTCCAGCTGATGAGATTACTGACATGTGAATTCATGGACCAATTGTGAAAGTAGAAGTCAAGCACCCTCGCTCTCTGACTGAGATCCACAACCCTGAGAAATGCTTGTTTATTGTAACAACAGGGCTGGAATATTTACTCACCTGAAGAACAGAGGGTATTAAAAGAGAAATATAAATGCTCTTATTTTTTGGTACACAAAAAGTTTTCCCAACATGAGAAGGAGATATTGTGGTCAAAATTGGTTTCATATGTAAAATTAACTAGTGCTATTTACAGATAACATACCAAACCTGTTATATTGCCATTCACAGACATACATGTTTATCCTTGCCAGAACAGTGCAAAAATTGCTCTTCCAGTATGATTTTATTCAAGACACTCACTCTAAGCTCATTGCATTCTGCCACATTATACACGGTATCATGTGAAATCAGCTGTTCTATACTGCAAATGGCATGGAAAATTATATATATTTATAATTTCCCATTGTGTTAATATTTTTCCTTCATAGTCTAAACAAGACTTCCTTACAAAAAAATCTTATAAGTTAGTTACTCTTTCGGCTGGCCTATAGCGAGTCCTGCTGCCAGAAAGATAATTAGCATTATTTTGCTCATATATACCATTTCCCATTGTGTTAACATTTTTCCTTCATAGTCTAAAACCAGACTTCCTTACAAAAAAACTTATAAGTCAGTTACTCTTTCAGCTGGCCTATAGTGAGTCCTGCTGCCAGAAAGATAATTAGCATTATTTTGCTGTTGCTTCTGTTGTCCATCCACTACACCCTAAAAGAAAACCACACTTATTTCTAATGGTCATGGGAAGGTGTGTCTAGATATCTTCACAAGAAGTTCCACCTCAGCATGAGGAAGGATTTCTTCATGTTGGAAGTGGCAGAGCACTGGAACAGGCTGCCCAGGGAGGTGGTGGAGTGTCCCTCTCTGGAGACATTCCAAACCCACCCGGACACGTTCCTGTGCCACCTGCTGCAGGTGACCCTGCTTTGGCAGGAGGGTTGACTGGATGACCTTCAGAGGCGCCTTCCAACCCGAACAACTCTGTGGTTCTGTAACTGCACCTGTGATGTGTGCTGATGAACAGGAATTACAATTCCATCCGTGTCCCGCACACCCACCCACGGTGTGCAAGGACAGTCTGGACCTGGAGAAGATGGCTTGCTGCACCAACAGCTTTCAACGGGCAGATTTAAGGAGGCAAGAATGGTTTTGCCTTCGATACCAGGGCACCAGAGTCGCTTTTGGAAGGTGGAGTGCACAACCCCCGTGATCTCTGTTACCGAAAGGTTAAGTTTCCTGAATGTGTTTTCCACATCCAGCACCCAATCCGCTGGAGATCACGGGAATACGCTGCATGCAGGAACAGAAATACAGGTTGTGGCACGTGATGAATTCATGCACAGCGCAGTAGAAGGCACTAGCGAGGATGTGACAAACTGGTGAGGGCACAGGCGCTGGTTCAAGGCACTTGCCTGCCAAAGGCTAGGACGTGAATTAGCACTGATGTTTCACGGCTCGCTCTGCACCCAAGGACATCTTTGCCTGGGAGGCAAAAGACACGGACAGGGAATTCGCACTTAACGTGTCCTATAACCTGTGAGATTTTCCATCCTTGCGTGCGCAATCCGAAAAGGCGCTGGCCCGCGGGCTTCTTTTCGCGGACGGACGGACAGACGGACGGACAGACGGACGGACGGCGCGGGGCTTTGGCCGCCCGCGGGGCTGGCCGGCACGGCCAGGAGAGGCTGTGCCAGCCCTCCCGCCGGTGCCANNNNCACAGCGCGCGGGGACGCGCACCGGGGACGCGCACCGGGGACGCGCACCGGGGACGCGCACCGGGCACAGGCTCGCACCCGCGCACCGCCCACGGCCGCGGCAACAGCGATTGGTCGGGACTGGGGTGGGGGGAAACTGACCGGCCAATGAAAGAGGCCCGCGGCAGCGGCGAGCCAATGGGCAGCCGCGCTTGAGGCTCGGCGCGCCGGGCCGGCAGCCAATGGGAGCGCGGCGCGGGTGAGAGGTCGGAGGTGGGAGAGCGGCGCCCCCGGAACGGGAAGCGGAGCGCGGCGCCTCCCGTTGTCCCACGGCGCGCACGAGGGGTTCCCGCGCCGGCCTGCGCTTCTCCCGCCATGGTGAGCGGCAGCCGGGAAAGCCGAGGGGCCGGAGCCGGGAAAGCCGAGGGGCGGGAGCCGGGAAGGCCGGGAGCCGCGAGGGGCGGGAGCCGGGAGGGGCGGGAGGCGCTCCGTTACCGGCGGCGGGCCGGGCGGGGCGGAGCGGGAGGCGGGCGGCGCTGACCGTGTGCTTCCCCCGGCAGAGCCTGCCCCTCAACCCCAAGCCGTTCCTGAACGGGCTGACGGGGAAGCCGGTGATGGTGAAGCTGAAGTGGGGCATGGAGTACAAGGGCTACCTCGTCTCCGTGGACGGCTACATGAACATGCAGGTGAGCGCCGGGCCGGGCCGGCGCTGGGGATGCATGGACAGACTGTGGCTGCCCCGCTGGCCAGGCCGGGGCCGGGCTGGGTTGGATGTGAGCAGCTGGTGTGGCGGGAGGGCTCTGCCCGTGGCGGGGCTCGCAGTGACACGGTGGTGCCTGGGCAGGACCTTGCCCGCAGCCGGAGCCGGGCTGTCCTGCTGGGCTGCAGGGTCCCGCTGGGCTGCGGGGTCCCGCTGGGATGCAGCCAAGCCCTGGGCGGGGGCACAACCCTGATGTGCTTTGCAGAGCCGCTCTTACTGCTGTCATTCTGATTTTTTTTTTTGTCTCATTTTCCTTTCAAGCTTGCAAACACAGAGGAGTACATAGACGGTGCGTTGTCTGGACACCTGGGTGAAGTTTTGATAAGGTAATTGGGGTGTTGATTGTGGTAAATCGCCTAAATCACCTCACCAGTTGCATTAAAGCTTATACTGATTGATGGTGTTTCTTGTTTAGTTAAGATGCCAAATGTAGCTCTTACAGGAAGGCTGTTAATGTGTCCTTTGTATCAAAGTCCCTTCTGAGAGGAGGAAAAAATAATTTTGGAGTATATTTAAAGAAGCATTTATTATCCCCTTTGTGGTGACCAAATACTTTTGTTTTTCACACTGTTGTGTATCTGGGAGTCCTTTGACATTGCAAACTAGTGCATTGCAACTGGAAACACTTTGCATGCTTGGAAGTTAAAAGTTAAATTTGACTGTAACTGTTCACCCTAAAGTAAAAAGTTTTGTACAGCATTGTCAAACAGGTATTACATTTATGAAGTTGCACAATTTAATGTACTGTGTGGAAAAGGCGTACAAGGTCAACAGCAGCATTTTGTTCTGTAGAATTTGGCTGTTGCCAGTCTACGTTCAAGCAGGAAAATGTTTAAAGCATGTTTTATGAGAAATGTTTAAAGCATGTTTTATGTGGGGAAAATGATAATGTTTATATCTAAGGGAACTCTTGGTTCTGTTTACAGGTGCAATAATGTTTTGTACATCAGAGGTGTGGAAGAAGAGGAAGAAGATGGAGAAATGAGAGAATAGGTGTTTTGTATTTCTGGAAATAAACTTTTTTTTTTCTTTTCTGTTTTTCATACTTTTGTAGCAAGATGTTTATTTCCATTGTGTGTTAGTATGGGGAAAATTAACCCTTTAAAAGATCTTTAATATTTGACTGGTGTTTGAAAAACTAATGCTGGAGGAACAGCAGGTAATTATTTCAATTTAAAGTTGTAAATATTGAAATGAAAAGTGAGTATTTAAAAATACCAGTTATCTTCCCATCTGTAATACAGAAAGACTTAGCAGCATCTATATTTTGCAGTATGTATGTCATGACTATTTAAATACATTTCATCTTTAAAATTGTTTATAAAACATTTGGAATTAGCTGGGAAGATTTCACTGCAAGTGTGGTGTGGAGATCTGTTATACCCCAGTTTCTCTCAGAAATGTTCTCCTGCTTTGAGTCAGGAAGCTTGAAGTGTGGCTGCATGGTCATTAAGGAAGGACAAATGTGTATCAGCTTAGCAGCCAGCAGCCACACAGGCAAAAGCAGCTGCAGGGATCCACAGGCTTGAGTGGCAATATTAGGGTTGAGACAAGAGACTGCAGGGTGGGAGTGTGCTTTGTGAGTCTCTGCTGGAGAATGGGAAGGGTACTGTGGTCCTCCTCAGCAGGTTGTGAAGAGATGTTCTGCCTAAAAGCTGCACAGGTTGTGGCTGTCAGGATACATCCTGCAGAGAAATACCTCCCTGTTTCATGTTGGAAATCATCCCTGGAGCTATCCATGTGTTCCTTTAATATTTACATATGTAAGTTTCTATAAAGAGTGAAAATCATTTTGGATGTACCTGTGCAGGTGTTTCATTGCTTAAACCAGACCTTTTTTGGCAGCGTGGAGGCTTCACAGCTCTGCTGAATTTCCCTGCAGTCCCATTGGGAAAGAGAAAAGAGCTATTTAAGCTAAAATCAGTACTAGCACAAGGATAAATGAGTACTTTAAAATTGGCAATGAGCCTAGGAAACCTCAGAACAGCTAGATGTGCTCTGAGTGGTGGCAGGAATGAAAGGCAAAAAGGCATCCTCACCTGGTTTGTGAACAGCACATCCTGTTAGGGACTGCATGGTGCAGAACAGTGCCCTTCCTGTGCTGCCACTGATGGCCACAGTGCTGTGATCAGTGTCAGGGGAGGAACAGCTGTGACTGTCACCTTGGTGTCTAGGTCAGCTGCTTGCTTGCAATGGGCTGGCACTGATCTGAAAGCTGCTCTTGCCCACGAGGGAGTGGGACTGGAGGTGAGTTTGTCTTGTATTACCTGAGCACTGTACCAGCATAGGGCTGTCACTGGCAGCTCACCAAGCTTCAGCTTTTCAGAGTGACTGGGAAGACCAAGCTTATGCTGAACCCCTTCTGTGTGCAGACATGGATGTGGCTGTTCCTCAGCTGAACAGGCGTGTCTATAGAAGGATGTGTGGAGTTGTGCTGTACAGCCAGAGTGCTTACTTCCTTTCCTGAGGGGAAAGAAAATGTTTCTGCATTGCAGAGAGAGCTAGCTCCTGTAATTCATAGCACTTCCTCTGATTCCCTTCCTACAGGGTGAGAATTCCTCAGTGTAAGAGACCAGTTGTTGATGAAATGTTGATTTTTGTGCTAGGAAGAATCCTCACACAAGGAAAGTCCTGTAGCAGTTTAAAATGAGTAGAAACCTTTTCAAGAAAAAAAAAACAAAACAAAACAACCAAGCCAAAGCAGAAAATAAGCAAGGGAGTATTTTGTGTATAATGACCTTAATGTGGCAGATAGTTCCCAACTTAAGAATGGGCTGTTATTCCAGGACAGACAGCCTGTACCCATCATCAGGAAAGCAGCCACATCTGGTTTTGCTGGGAGCTGTTAGAAATGAAACAAAGTAGGCAGACACAGCTGGCGAATATCTAGATTAAACCACTATCTAGAAAAAAAGTAAAAAAACCAAAACACCAAACTGGAAATCTCCAGTAAGACGAATAATAGAAAAGACAAGTGGATGTACATTTTGGAAAAGCAAGAACTCAGAACTGAGAAAACAAAGATGTTTTTCTCATGTAATCTATCTCCCTCTTTCAGACAAATAAGCTGCTTTACAGCATCTTGAGTTTTCATCCTCAACAAAGGTGTGATCCTTTCACATAGCTTCGTATTCTTTTGAGATGTTTTGTTATATCTTTTTTTTTGACAGTTTAGACTTCAAACTCAGACCATTTTACTTTTGCATAGCACCAGGCATCAAAGACTTTAACTAAATAATACCTTGGTGCATAACTTGATAACTAATCTCAGTTTAATTACGCTGCAAAAATGGAGGCATGTGTTTCTCTTTGCTACCATGAAGTGTTCCATTCATTTCAGTGGAAGAACCCATGTAGATAGTCAGACAACTTAAACATGGGCTTAACTTAGATCCTTGTCCTAAATGATGGGGAGAGAATTGCAGTGCAGGTGAAGATAAAGTGATCTGAGTATATCAGAGTAATTGGAGCTGGTTCTTAGTTCATATGGAGTAAGCCCCACGAATACAGATTTTTTTCATTTGTGGAGAAAGTCCAAAAGACAAAAGAACTGGAAACATTCACTTAGGTGTATATTAAAGACAAAAAAAAAGGACTTGGGATGTGTTAAATACAAGGTACATAAAGTAACTAAAAAGAAAAATTGCTTTCACATATTTACATGACACACCACATGTAGTTTTGAGCTTATTTTTGTGTTTCTCATTTGGGTGTTAGGTTGTTTGCTGTTTAATTTGTTCCAATTGTTTATAGGATAAAAGAAATTAAAGTAGCAGGACACTCGGGAAAAGACTACACCCTGCAAAACCACTTATTTAATGCAGTGAAAAGGTGGTCAGAAAGAGCCTAGAAATAGTGAGGCATGACATACCACATGTAGTTTTGAGCTTATTTTTGCGTTTCTCATTTGGGTGTTAGGTTGTTTGCTGTTTATTTTTTACTTGGAAACTTTCCCATTTCTAGGTGTATGCAAAAAAATTGTACACAACCTACCTGAGAAGACCCTAAATCCTTATCACTGCTAAGAGAGAAAATACTGCAAACTCCAGTTCTGTATTGTGCAGCTCACAGACTGCAAAGAAGGACAAGCTTTGGCCATAAACCCACATTTGCAAGTCACTTTCATCCAAGTGATGCATTTTCTGTGTTAGGATCCTGAGGGTTTACTGACCTCTGCTGCTTTTGTAAACAGGAAATAGCAATCAGTAAATTTCACTTGTAATTAACTTGTGTTTAGGCATGTATAGCATCCCCTTTCAGGACACTTCATCATGCTATGTGTATTACTGGAAAGGTCTGGTTATTGGATGAAAAAAACTAATCTACAAATATAAGGAAAATGTAGCCAATATTTGATTTGAGACTCATCTCTAGCTTTGGGCTTTTAATTACAAGTTGTTTACAAGAACAGACATTCTAATGTAGCTCTGACAGTGTATTTGGAAATGTGTCCTGGAGGAAAAAGCATATTATATTCTCATGTAAAGCACCAGCAAGAAGAGATGAAATCCCTTAAAGCAAAAACCTGATACTCAACTTTTTTATCTCTACTTTTCCTCCAATTGAAGATGCCACATTTAAAAATTATTTTCAAAGAGAACTTTCACTGGAACTTTAAGGTGGTTTAAAAGCTCTAAATTTATGAAATTTTTGCAGGGTTCCTTTTGCACCCTAGAGTCCTCTGTACATCCAGTGAATTCTGCCAACATTTTAAAGAATATGGCCGAGTATTTAGAATCTGTACTGTTTTAATCAAACTCTAGAATTTCCTGAGGATGCAACCTGGAAACCATTCCTGCACTTACTTTTCTAGGCGGTATTCTTAAAAATAGATGGGGCACAGCATGTCAGAAACGTGACTGCAATGGATTGACCTTTTTTCTTACACTGATCCATTACATTCTTCACCAGAAAAGAACCAGGGCATATAGAAATACACAAGCACATCTGTAAATTTTCTGCAAAGAGAGTTTTAGTCTTAGAATAAAATACACTCCTAGCTTACAAAGCATAAAATCTTCACTGATTCTCAGGTTTTAAATCAGGATCTGACCTTGAATCTCAGAGAAGCCTAGAGCACAAAACTGATTTTTTCTTTTAAAGTGTAACAACATAGCTCACAGGTGTGTTGATCTTTCCTTTTTTCCCCCCTCCACCACAACATGCTGTGTTTCACTCCTGACACAACAGCTCTCAGCCCACCACCACTGCTTAGGCATTCCCCACAATGGGATGTCCTTCTGTGCTTGTTATGATGCTGTTGCCAGGTTCCTCTGTGATTTCTGCTTTCAAACATATTGTGGTACTGCTGGAGAGCACCACAGTCAGCAGCAGGAGCTCCTGGGAGTGGTGAAGCACCCTCTACCAGCTCTCCTGTCCATCTTCTCTGCGTGCCTAAGTGAGAGTTCAGGAGGAAGACAAAGGTTATGTCATGGTGCAGCATTACGGCAGTGGAGAAGCATTGCAAGGTAACATCCAACTCTATTGTAGTTTTACTCACTTTTCAGGTTTGATATTAAATACAAATTACTGGCCTTTAGATGCAAATCTTGCCTCATTTGTAAACAAGACCTCACCAGAAAGGATCATTCAAAGAGCCAACATAACCACCTGTTTCTGCTGAACGGGAATATGTACATGCACATAGATGTCTTACAAGCATTTACAATCGATTCTCTTTCTAAAAGAAAAGGTGTCTAAAGAAGATTGCCACCCCGGGAGTAGTGTTTGAGGGACTACTTGTTTAGAAGGACACTCCATTTTCCAGTTGGGGAATACTGGAGTCCTATAGATGCTGTGAATCTGGGAAGAAAACAAAAAAAATCCGTGTTAGGAGCAAGTATTTCCTCTCTGATTCTCCCATCCTTCGTTCTGCAGGGGGCAGCAGAATCGCACGAACATTTCGTTGTGGGAATCAGATAAATTAATATCTGCCTGGATAAAGGAATGTGTGCCTGAACATCTGGCGCGGCGGGAGGTGCTGTGGTCCCTCGGGGCTGTTGCTGGGATGCGGGCAAAATGATGGATGCTGGAGAGGGGATGGACGCCGGGGAGGGGGCCCGTGGGCAAACAGACGCTCCCGAGCAAACCAGAGGCTCCTATTTTCTTGGCAAAGGGAAATCTCCAGGTGGTGCTGTGAGGACTGAGAGCTCCGGGAAGCCCCAGCTGGAAGACCCGGTGCTTGGGAGCTGCTATTGAGCCAGCACGATGCAGGGATGTTGTCACGTTATCCTGGACCGAATCCGGCAGAGTGCCCCGCGCTCAGCGGGCTGCGGCGAAGCCGGGGCAGAGCCAGCGGGCAGGGCCGGGCCGGGCCGGGGGGCAGGCCGGGGCCGGGCCAGCGCGGCTCCTCCGCGGGAGCTGCGGGCAGACCCAGCGGGCAGGGCCGGGCCGGGCCAGGGGGCAGACCGGGGCAGGCCGGGGGGCAGGCCGGGGCCGGAGGCCGCACCGCCCCGGGACTTTGAGCCCAGCGAGCCCGGCAGTCGGGGCCGCGGCCATGGCGGGCCGGCAGCGGCAGCGGCTGCTGCTGGAGAACGCCGAGCAGCTGGTGCTGGTCTGCGGCCGCCGAGAGCCCTTCCTGCGGCGGGACGGCGCTGCCAGCCTGGCCGTGCTGCGGGCCGCCAGCCTGGTGGTGGGGCTGTGAGTGAGGGGCCGGGGGGCTCGGCTTCGGCACGGCTGGGATCGGGGGCAGGGTGGGAGGCATCCCCTAAGCGCAGTCCAGGCTGCCCGGTGCCATCCTCACACTCCACTGCGAGAACAGTCCCAAAGGGGCTGTGGCTTCCCGAGGTGC